TTGCTTGTTCAGCTTTTTTCAAAATATCCTCCATTATATTTGGGGTAGAAAACACGTTTTCACCGCAAACACAGCTTGATAACAAAGTTCTGTTTATAAACAAGTAACATAGCAACAACCTAGCAACAAGAAAACTCTACTATAATCAACGGTACCTGATTCAAATATACCGGGAAGGTAATGAATTGGTACATTTTTCCGTTTCAAAAATGAACAAAATTTTATTGAAATCGGTCAGAAATAAAATTATCTATGTACCACGGGAATTAATGAGCCTTAATAACCTCAGGCAATTGCTGTCCCTCGGGCCAGAGGCCCTCGGAACGCAAACTTTGCCATCGGTAATTAAGGCCCTCCTAATTCCCTTGATACATAAATAACTATTATTGACGTGAATAATCGTTGTCAATATTACTGTATCAATATCGATGGGGATCACCGACATAAGGTTATGTCGATGATGATGATGGTGACACGCTCTGAAGTGTGAGGTGACAAGTTGGACTGGCTGTTACGTCACATCCACAAAACATATAGTAAAATAACTATATTAGAGAGAACTGTGAAGGACAAATTCCGTGGGTGGCAAATTACGTCATAAAGCGCAACTCTACATTAATCATTGGTTTTACTTGCCTACTACATTTACACTCTCATGTAATTATTGAGGAAGAGAGAGTTTAAAAAAGAGAGAGAGATAAATACGTTTATAGTCCTAAGAAAACAAGTTCCTGTTGACAAACGTTTTATGGTTAATAAAAATAGAATAGAATAGAAATTTATTCATCATTAAAAATTTTATACATGTGGTACATACATGTACCATACATAAAATTTTATCAGACTAGTCAGAACAGAACATAAAGCAACTGCGCCTATCTATAGTTACAGTGTCTATATACATGTTACCAGTTAAGTAGACATATTGAGAAGATGGAAGAACGGTGATCATTTTAAATTAGTTAAAATTGTAAAATCTATACATTTGTACAAGTAAAATAAAGTAATTATACAATAATACCTAGAGTTGTAGAAATTCTTCAGTAGAATAAAATGCATTTTTTGTAAGGTAGTCAATTAAAACACTGTGGAATCCAGTGAAACTATATATGTTTCCAAATAGCTGAAGTGCTTTATTATAGCAGATGATACCCTGATAACTTGAGGATCCCTGACCAAGAGCCAGTCGAGAGTAGGGTAATCGCAGTTCATTACCATTCCGAGTGTGATGTTTATGTATCATGTTATTTTTAATGTAGCTTGATTCATTTTTCTTGATATTCATTGTTACGATGAAGATATACAGTGAAGGCAATATTAAGAGTGCCAGTTTAGTAAAGGATTCTACAGGATTCTCTGTAACGTACACCTGCCATACATCTTTTTTTTGCACAGTGAATACTTTTGTCGTATAGGCGGAATTTATCCAAAAGGCTAGCCCATAAGACATTGCAGACTGTATGAGTTCCAAAATATGTCAATTTGAGTACCTGCAATGAAACAGTTCCCCATAACTGTCTCATTACAAAACACAAGCTACTCATTTTTGAAGTAAGATTTTCTACATGTACTTCTCAAGTTAGTTTTTGGTCAATTGTAAGTCCAAAGTATTTCGCATATAGTCAGGCTATAGACTATATGTGGCTATAGACTGGCTATAAATCAAATTATCTAAGAACAATTCGTTCAGGCCAGTCTCAACTCCCTACACAGTAGGTTAATGGACTGACACCTATCAGAAAACAACTACTCCCCTGGCTAATACCACAAAGGGCGTTGGATTATGTCCGACATGTGTCAGTGCAGGATTCTTCACTGAAGTTATTCCTGCATATGCTGTTGGCGATACAACTGCCGCAATAGAATACTATGTAACAATAACAACAAATATTAAATAACATCAACATCTAGACTAACGAATTGCACTAAATTAAGTGTTGGAAATGGCCTCCTTTGGCTTCAATACAACCATCTACCCCCTGTATCATTGAATTTTGCACTCTTCTGACAATACCTGGCGTATTTTTTATTGTGTCACATGAATTAATGATTTTATTCCGTAAATCCTCTTCACTTAGAATAGCAGTTTTGTATACCAACGCTTTAAGGTGTCCTCAGAGAAAATAATCTAAGAGATTCATTTCAGGCGAGCGAGGTGACCATGGGTGTGGGCCTGCTCACCCAATCCAGCGAATATGGTAATTTTCATCCAAAAATTGCCGTGCCGCTACACCAAAGTGTGGTGGAGCACCATCGTGCATGTACCACATAAGGAATCTTTCCATGACTGGAATTTTTTCTGAAAGTCCAGGTAAAACAAATTCTAAAAACCTTCGGTATTCTTCTCCAGATGGTCACTGACAATTTCAACCCAAATATTAAAAGAAGGCGTGTGGATTGTTTCCGCCCCAAATGTGATTGTTGTGGAAGTTAATAATTGAATTGCGAGAAAAACAAGCTTCATCTGTAAACAATATTCGACTTAAGAAACCTGAATTTCTTCCTATTTCACCGCGTAACCGATTAGAAAAAGCTAGTCTTACAGGCAAATCTCTGGGCAATAAAGCTTGCACACGTTGCATGTGATAGGGATATAGCTGCTGGGCTCTTAAAATCTGCCACACTGTGACACGGGTAATATTCAGTTCTTCAGCTATTTTCCGAGTAGTTTTATGAGGATTCACTTCAATCTCATTTAAAACGGCTTCTTCAATTTGAACTTTTCGTACCTACAGGCATCCCAATGACAACCGTCGATTTTTTAAAGCTGCCTGATCCAGAAAGTCGTGCATGAAGACGTACAAAAGTTCTTCTATTAGGCACTACACGCTGAGGAAGTATTTCATGGTAGATGCGTCTATTGCGATATTACGTGCGATATTAATACTTGCTCGGCTGACGACAAAAACACTATAAGGGACCTGCTTGCAGATGTTCCTGTAGATACTACAAATATTAGCACATATAGACTAGGTAAATTTGATCAAAGCAAGAATAGGCCCATCAAGGTGTGTTTCTCATCCCCGGAAGAAGCGTTAGTAGTCCTAAGAAATAAGAAGTTTTTAAAAGTACAAAGTGTCAAAATATTTGCTGATCAAACTAAAATACAAAGGGACTATTTTCTCAATGTTAAAAGAAAATTAGAAGAATACAAGAATAGTGGTCAAAATAAAATTATTAGGTATATAAATAATATTCCCACAATTGTTGATGCTATAAATAAACAAAAAAACTGACTGAAAGTCCTAATATAGTATACAAGGCTGACATCATTTACATGAATGCTGAGAGTTTTCTAGCCCACAAAGATCAAATAATTAGAGAAATATTTTGTTATTATCCATCAATGGTAATATTAAGTGAAGCCAGATGTACAGATAGTGTTCTTGATAGCGAAATTGTCATTTCAGGGTATTCTATCGTTAGATGTGATTCTAACAGCAGACATACTGGAGGAGTACTTATATATGTAAGAGGGGATATAAGTTATTCGTTAAAAGGAAAATATATACTGGATACCAATTACTGGTGCCAATTTATCAAAATTGAATTGAATAACACTAAATGGTTAGTAGGTGGACTCTACCATTCTCCAAATTCAAGTCATGATGTGTTCCTGGACAAATTTGAAGAATGGTGTGAGGACTACTTCATGAGAAATAAAAAGTGTCTTTTGATTGGTGACGTAAATATAGATTATCTTAGTAATACTACTCACGGCAAAAAAGTTAAAAATATAATGATGACTTTTGGTATCGAACAACTTGTTTGTGATTCGACAAGAATAACCTCTAATAGTTCTTCATTGATTGATTATGCGATATCAAATCAGAGTGGTCTAAAAGTTTGTGTTCACCATGAGCCTAAGATTACTGATCATTCAATAATTTCCGTTATTATACAAAATAGTGACTTTGCAATATCTACACCTTTTTTCACACGGAGATTAAATGATGAGGTTTTTCATAGTATCAACCTGAGGCTGATTGAATGTGAATGGTTGAAAACCTCCACTGATGTGAATGAGATTTACCATAATATTGAATCGGAGTGTAGATTAATTTTAAATGAGATAGCACCCATTATCGAAATCAAAAACAAACAAAATCAGGTACCTTGGTACGATGATGAGATAAAATCATTTTCAAAACAAAGAGACAAATTGTATAAAGATTTCAGAAAAACTTCCAATGCCAATAAAGAGGAGTTGTGGAATAAATATAAATCAAAACGAAATGAGGTTGTTAATTTACTGAAAATAAAAAAATTGCAATACTTTGAAAATAAAATTGATTCAAATAAAAATGACCCTAAAGAAATGTGGAAAACTATTAAAAAATTAACAAAAGGTGAGAAGCAGCATATGAACTTCAAGTGCATTAACTTTAGCACTGATGGCACTATATCAAGGGTAAAAACTGAGCAAGATGCTGCCAATAAGTTTAATTCGTTCTATGTTGATAGCATTGAGCGGATCTCTAGTTCTATCATCTCTGAAGAAAAGTGGTCTCAGAAAAATCTTAAACCAGTGGTAGCTAGTTTTCCTGAATTTGAAAGTGTAAACCTAAGTAAGTTGAGATCTACTATATTTTCTCTCAAAAAAAAAGGCAGTATTGAGGAAGTAATTAGTGTCAGGTTTTTGAGAGAAACGTTTTATACTGGTGGAATTGTCTTCCTGAACTTGATAAATACTTCACTTGCAAATGGTAGTTTTCCCAACCAATTGAAACTCAGTACTATAATGCCCATTCCTAAAATTAATAACGCAATAGAAATGTCTGACTATAGGGCCATAAATACTTTACCAACTATAGAGAAACTCTTAGAAATAATAGTGCACGAACAAATAACTCAGTACTTCAGTAAGAATGATCTGTTTATGGGTAACCAATCTGGTTTTAGAGAACATCATTCATGTGAAACTGCCCTTCAGTTAACAATATCGAAATGGAAGCAGGTANAATAAACACCTTGCATACTACAAGACATTTCAGACAAACATATAGTACAATAATAACATTGTAAAAGTATACAAACAGTCAGACAAAGAATATAAACAGGCAGACAATTCAAAGTCTATCAGCGAAATATTCTTCTACCGAATAATAAGCCTTTGATAAAAGCATGATTTTTAGTTCCTTTTTCATTTTTCTAACAGGCAAGTTTTTGATGGAATCAGGTATTTTGTTATAAATATTAATCACAGAAAAAGGAAAATTTTTCTATACAAAAGAGAAACGTGTCATTAAGTTCAGTTATTGCACTATTTTGTTTAGGTTTTATTTTTAATTTGATTAATGATCTGCCAAATAGTTTTAGATTTGTTATCAAAATTCAGAATTTGATAATCATGATACTCTTTTCTTGCACAACTTAATTTTTCTCTGTATAATTTACTGTAATGTTTACTTATTTCTTTGTAGTTGTCGTCCTGCTTAGCAATTGAGGTATACAAAGTTACATTATTTTTTAATTCTTGCAATTCAGGTGTCATAATATAATCATTGCCCTTTCTTGTATTTATACTGAAACAGTTTCGGAAACAGACCATGGCAAAACCCGGAAACCAATCAAAATATTGTGAACGATTTTTTGTTGTATCGAAATTTTGAAAATACACTTATCTTTTTTCGATTTAGGTTGTGCTTGATGGTATCAACAATTTGCTCAAGATGGCAGGTCCTCAGGTCGATCAGCTGTGCACTATGATTGAGGAGTGCAACGGTTTGGATAAAATTGAAGCATTGCAAAACCATGACAACATCGACATTTATAGATTGGCCTATGATATCATAGAACAGTACTTCAGTGGAGATGTGAGTATGATAATGTTACAATTTTTCCGTTAGTTTGAAAATAATTGAGTATGCTGTACAATAATCATACTCGACTTTATTTCACTGTTGGTAGTCAGAGTCAGAAATGCTTTATTGTCATAAAAGTTTAGGTTGTGTTGACAAAGCAGGCTTAAGAACTAAAACAATCTGAAACATTAACATAAAGGTCAAGAATTAAAACAAGATATTAATATGGCAAAAGCACACTTCAAAAAGTCTGTGATGAAAAATTTAATATGTTGACAAAGCAGGCTTAAGAACTAAAACAATCTGAAACATTAAAATAAAGGTCAAGAATTAAAACAAGATATTAATATGGCAAAAGCACACTTCAAAAAGTCTGTGATGAAAAATTTAATATGTTGACAAAGCAGGCTTAAGAACTAAAACAGTCTGAAACATTAAAATAAAGTTCAAGAATTAAAACAAGATATTAATATTGCAAAAGCACACTTCAAAAAGTCTGTGGTAAAAAATTTAATATGTTGACAAAGCAGGCTTAAGAACTAAAACAATCTGAAACATTAAAATAAAGGTCAGGAATTAAAACAAGATATTAATAATGCTCAAGCACACTTCAAAAAGTCTGTGGTGAAAAATTTAATATGTTGACAAAGCAGGCTTAAGAACTAAAACAATCTGAAACATTAAAATAAAGGTCAAGAATTAAAACAAGATATTAATATGGCAAAAGCACACTTCAAAAAGTCTGTGATGAAAAATTTTTAATTATAATATCCAAAAATATTTTGTTGAGATATGTTTATCTAAATTTAATGTAATCTGTATAACATTGTCTGGACAAGGATTTACGTCTAGATCTTAAATTGCTAAATGCTGCGTAGCTTTCTGGACATTTTGCGCTCTTGTAGATCTTGTAAGCTGGTTTTGAAGTTGGAAACCTGAAGTTTTGGGTAAATAAGAAAAATATTGTAACTATTTGTTTAAAATGGTCTGTCACGAGACTTGATGTGACAAATAAAATTCAACGCTGTCCTTCAATAATTTGGTATTAGTCCCCACACAAAATTATATTATCAGATTTATGGAGCTACAAAAACATGACATTAAAACGAAAAAAAAAATCCAAACAAACTAATTTTATGGAAATTCTTCCACATATAACACAACAAATTTTAATTGTAACTCATTTGATATTTTCAGGCGGAAGATGATCCGAATATAGCTCCGACAGCAGGAGAAAGCGGATTCACATTCGATCCCAATACCAACCTACCAAATGATGGTTTCAAATTTTGATCCTTCTATTTAGATAATTACTCAAAGTAATTACAACTGTTAGCGAAGAGGGGCTGCTTCCTTACTTATATCAAACGACATGTATGTACGTTCATTTTAAGTTCATGTAAATATTATATTTTTTTATATATGTAAGACGGTTACAAAATCAATGTACACAGGTAGGATCACGAGTCGTGAGTTGAAGGTTTCAAAAACGCTCACGCCTCTTAAATTCATCCTATATGCTTGTAGGATATTTATTTAATTTGAATTGATATTTAGTTGTATGTATGTGTACATTGGGGGAGTTATGAAATATCGCCAGGTTATGTAATTTTTCGTGATTCATTTCTTTTTTTATGGCTAGTGAGACTACTTACATATTGGTTGATTGATCTGATTTTTGGCAGAGAAAACAAATACAGGAACCACGCTCTTTGTGCACTTCGCCTTTTTGAAAATGTTGATTTGTTGCAACTTGAATTATCTGTGATCGCTTGTCTGAGATTCAGATTAGTTTCAATTTAGCGCTGAGCTCATAGTTGAAACTCATTTGAAAATGTTATAGAGTAATTTTTTGAACGATTTCATTTTTTGAGGTGAATTCCACGTGTTGACTTAATCAAGAAGAAGATTGAAACCAGTTGACAACACAAAAACTGAATTGAAAACATGGTCTTGGTCGAATAACGATCCACAAAGCCTCTAACTTTCTTTTTTTATTGGCTTTTCAAAATAATAATGGGTGCAATAAACAACGGAAAATGAGATATAAGAAAATTGAAAGATCTTTACTGGTTCAAATATANTGATTTGTGTCCCTACACTCCACCTAAAAAAATTTTTATACGCAGCTGCATTTTATTGGAAAGATAAAATGAAATTTTGGTCGTTCCTTAGTGTGACTCTGTACAAGCAGCCTTGTCTGGGAGATCACAAGCACTATGCATGATCATGTTTTGGAGTACTCGTTTGCTTAGATCCCGATCTGCCTGTTAATAGTGTTTATATTTTGTAATGGATGTCTCTGGGACCTGATAGGTAAATCTCCAAAAGCGACGCAATATCGTATAACGATCGAGAAACGCATGTCGAATTGAGCGCAACCTTGGCCATGTTAACAGCGTGACCACATTTTATTTAAGAAATGTAACTACGGTGTCATCAAAAATCTACTGCAATTTATTTGAAGTGGGGTACTCTTTTGTTTGAAGAGCACTAACATGTGAAAATTTGAGTTTTCGACCACTTGTAATAACATTTGAATAGCATCACTGAATCTAGAAGGCCTTGGCCTTCTTACGGGTATGGCCAATGGGTGTAGTCAGATACTTGAAATGGCAAGTTGATTTTTAGTTGGTTATTTTGAACACTGGGATTATTTCAAGTATTAGAATTCAAACATTAAAAACAGAAAAGTTTTCATTATTNAGTATCTTCATTATTTATTATCAGAACATATATATTGTAGAACAGGTCAATCCAGAAGTTTCTTTAATCATGATTGGCTCCACCCTGTGATGATATTTTAAAAAACTATATTCAGTAATAATAATAATGAAATACATAAAAATATGTACGAGGTCTGTTTGGAAATAAAAGTGAATTTAATTTTTTCCCAAAAAATGTTTTACTTATAATAATTATATTCTTTATTCAGTAGAACAGCTATAACATTTCCTATGCAAACTGAAACGGGAAATTTCATCTTGAGAACCTGGAGTGCACAAAGATGGTCTTTCACTCATCAATTTCTATTTTTATTCCTTCAGCCTAGTACTCCTCAGATATAATACACTTGTGAACTTTTTGGTGCACCGGTTTCTCTGTTGTAAATGTTACCAAAAATTTAGAATGAGAAGCCCGATAGCCTTACGATTTAATTAAAAATTTTCCACAAAACAATATTTTGAGGACACAACATATTTTTATAAAACCCTAACTTGACTAATGTGTCTCCAATCCTCAATCGGCATTGTCAAATATCATCTATCGAGATAAAGAAGAAGAAATCCTGTCATTTTACCAAAAACCTCAGAGTAATAATATGACATAGAGTTGCCATGCCTATACCATTACAATACATGTATTTTGAAGCGGGTATTGTACTATCCTTTTCTGTACAACTTATTGACGAGGGGAGTGGTGGCGGATTATGAGAGGTTATGAGTGAATTAT